GCAACATTTCATGGGTGCGCCGCCGCCACCTTGACGTCACGTGACCCTGCCGCCACAGCCGACCTTCAGTTTCTCGCAGTTCTCCGCGTTGTGTGCTGCACCGGCCACCACCGGAGCTTTGTTCCCGAGTTCTTTTACGTTCTGCGTTGAAATCGTGTGTTTGTTTTAGGTCCTTTCGATATTTCGGGCTTTCATTTAATCATTTGATACCGACATTTGAACATCGCTCTTGTATTTTCTTATTTATGGAATGGAATCGGACAGCGAATGGATCGACGATACAAGATTATGGCCCAGGCTTCAGAGACCATTAAGTTCATCACATTTTGTTTTTATCGTTAATAAGGGCAGTCAACACCATTGCGACACATAAAAATTTCAACTGACGCTGTAAGGCTATCGCAGTCGTGCTTCTTGCTGCATGTGCGAACTTTAGACATTGTTTCTGTAAGTAAAAGCCGAACCGCATGTAAGTGCTCAAGCGAGCGGCGAGACGAGCAACGGCGACAACGATGAGAGTCGGCGACGAAGATTTCTCGCTGTCGCCCGTTGCATCGCTCGGTTTTTGGATTTCTAGAAAACGTCGCTCGTCGTTTTGGTCGCTTGCGTGCGGTTTGCCTCGTCGCGCGACTGATCGAGCGAAAGCGAAGCGAGTCGCTTGTCTCGCTGCTCCCCAAATCGCTTTCATGCGGTTTTCTAGAAATCAAAAAGCCGAGCGCCGCGACAGGTGGCAGTGAGAAACTTTCGTTGCTGACTCGTCGTTGTCTCTCGTCTTGCTTGCTAAAGCGCTTACATGCGGTCCGGCTTTTATCTACGGAAACAATGTCTAAAAGCGCGCACATGCACCGAGAAGCACGACTGCGATAGCCTCACTGCCAAAAATTTGGGGGTTTTGCGTGCCAAACCAACGACGGGCATCTGGAGATAGCCTCACTGCGTCAGTTGATATTTTCATATGTCGCAATGGTGTTGACTGCCCTTTATTAGCGACAAAAACAAAAGAATGTGATGAACTTACATGTTCTCTGAAGCCTAGGCCATGATCTTGTATCGTGATCCATTCACTGTCCGATTCCATTCTATAAATAAGAAAATACATCTATATTGAAACTTAGGTATCAAATGAATAAATGAAAGCCTGAAATATCAAAAAGACCTAAAGAAAACACTCGACTTCAACGCGGAACGTAAAAGAACACGAAAACAAAGCTCTGGTGGTGACCGGTGCAGCACACAATGCGAAGCAACGGCGACAAAATGAAGGTCAGCTATGGCAGCCCGTTAAGCGCGCCGACTGGTGGCAGCTCGAGTAACTGACTCCCTAAAAGCATCTATACAGATAAAAACTGACACCTGCTGGCAGAACACTGTAAGGTCAAAATGCACTTCCTCAGAAACCAGTGCCACTAGTTCCACAGAGAGTGAAATTCTGTCAGACAATGACACTAAGGGTGCACCTCAGACAAGAGTTGTTACCCTGGTATTTTATCCAGAAGGTCACCTAGCAATTCACTGTGTCCATTGTGAGTGCAAGTCCAACTTAGAAAAAGACTAGTGTCATGGGCTGCTACAAGACAAAAGCAAAGAGGAAAATTCACAATGCCTTCTTGATGAAATCCTAGAATAACAACTCATGTGAGCCCACCCTCATTACTAATACATGACAAAGAATTCCCCGGTCTGCAGAGCCAATGACGCTCGTTTCTGGGGGAGTGCGTTCAGACGACGCATCAGCCCACTTCACATGGCGCAATTTCGCTTGCAAATTTACACCTGTGACGTCAGGCACTGCAGCTTCCCCCATGCCTATATTTCGCTGCATGAGTGATGTCACAACAGCAAACTCCCAAGTAAAGTCACACCTTGCGAATCAGGTTTACAGTGTTCACACAGCATGTGTCACTCCCTATCAGTAGATATATTTTTTTTACCAAAGTAAACTATTCAGTTAAAAGTTAAGACGTGTCCTGCCCAGATCTTCCTTCATTTCGTCTGTGTTTTTTGGCGTATTATCCAGTCTTGAGGCATATCAGTGTCAGGTGTTTCTCTTTGTCGCTCTAGTAGGACTCGGGCAGGGTGGGGAAACAGTCATGTCTCAATAATATGGATACTCTGCTATATAAAAACCGTTTTCGGGGACCAACCGGGTAAATACCTGCATTTTGTCCTGTTATTATGCACAGCTCACATTATGGACGCTTTTGGGTAGGAACGGAGGTGTCCATTTGCATGAGACAGCACTGTCATATTCCCTAGTGTTGAAATTAATGACTGCACGCTCTGAAGCCACGTAACAGGTTTCTCCACTGAACACTAATGCGTAGCGGTGGCATGGCAGATGTTTGTGGCTGCAGAACACACCGCAGGCAAATGATATCCAATGTGGACAATCATGGATATTTGACATTAGAATCAACCAACAAATAGGCCTACATGTTGCTGTCACAGAATTGAACGATTTTTTTCTTCGTGTGATTCCGTTTTGAGTAAGATGCACAAGTGCCGAAAACACGAGCTCGGAAGAGAAGAAAAAGAAAAAAAGAAGGAAGGCGGAAGCTGCATAGAGCTAGGCTTCAGTGGTTGGAACAACAAGCAAGGCTTCAGTGGTGTGGGAGGTCGAACCCCGAACAAGGCTTTGTCAAGATGGTTGGTGGGCCCTGAGCAAACTTCGACGATGTGCATGTGCTTGTGAGCGAGCGCTGTTCGGCACTATAAGCACCCAAGCCACCACAAGTTCTCGACTCCGACTGGTGCCGCAAGGGACTGGGACCACCACCGACATCTTGGGACCATGATTCGACTTTCCTCATACGAAATGTATAGCGTCTTTGATTTGGCTTCTGTTCCCTCCTTGTTACGCTTTCGAAGCTTTTGTGATTTTCTTGCCCCTGTTACGAAGAGCAGAAGGCTTGCAAGATATGTTCTTTTCCTTTATTATTTTCATTTTTTTACGACCGTTTGTACGTCCTGTGCACCTTTTCTTTAATTTTGAATTTCATTACTCATAAATAGTGTTTCGAAATGCCAGGTACAAGTCACTCTCAATTCCTACCGCCTCTAAGGAAGTCCATCACCTAGGTGTGGCCCTAGTACCTGGACAGCGGTCCAATTCAGATTACAAGTTGGTTTGTTTATGGCATCTTTTCCAACCGAACCTGTGACAAACTGGCATCCACTACAGGACTTGAACCTGTCACAAGTTAGTCACAGGTTCGGTTGGAAAAGATCCCATAAAAACAAACTTGTAATTTGAATTGGACTGCTGTCCAGGTGCTAAGGCCACACCTAGGCGATGGACTTCCTGAGAGGCGGTAGGAATTGAGAGTGAGTCGAGCCTGGCGTTACGGAACACTATTTAATAGTAAAGAAATTCAAAAGTAAAGAAAAGGTGCACAGGACGCACACACAGTCGTAAAAAAAAAGGAATAAATAAAGGAATAGAACATACCTTGCAAGCGTTCCACTCTTCATAACCGCAGAAGGAAAAACACAAAAGCTTTGAAAGCATAACAAAAGGAACAGAAGCCAAATCAAAGATGCCATACATTTGGAGGAGGAGGAGAGTCCAATCATGGTCCCAAGATGTCGGTGGTGGCTTGGGTGCTTACAGCACCACACAGTGCTCACTCACAAGCACAGGCACATTGTCTAAGACTTGCTCGGGGCCCACCAACAGTCTTGACGAAGCCTTGCTCAAGGTTTGACCACCCAAACCCACGAAGCCTTGCTTGCCGTTCCACCGGCCATAGCGCCGATGCCTTGCTTCGCGTTCCACCACAACCACACCGTGCGCGGGTTCCATCTTCTTTCTTCTTGATCCCTTCCTCCGAGCTTGTGCTTTTGGCACTCGCACATTTTGCTCAAAAAGGAAACCAGTAAAAAGAGTACAATAACCACTGAATTCTGTGAGAGTTGTTATGACTGTGAATTTCTAGAGGGCAAAGTTGACATTTGCAACAAAACTTGAAATAATAAGGCATGTGGAGAAGGAGACAAAAAGTTTTGTGTCACTGGAGCCCACAAGATCTTTGTAAACTACTCAAGAAACGGTGTGACATAAAAGCGCGACAAAACACATTCTGACGCACGGCATGTTAAGACATCGAGAAACCACTACAGAGGTGGTTTAGAGATGTCGGGGCAAGCAACATTCCTATATTGGGACCAATCTTCTTAAGGCATGTGAAAAACTCCTTTTACTCTTGAAGTGAAGAATCTTCTAAAAGAATGTGAAAGATTCCTTTTACCTTGATGTGAAGAACTTCATTGCAAGTGGATAGCTACATTAACTTAAGGGCCACCATGGCACAGGAGAAAAGACCATCTAAGGGACGGCTGTACCTTTTGTAACGAGCAGTAGTGCCAGTGTATGTGATGGGACTATTGTGGTGGCAGTGCCAGCGTCGAAAGAGAAAGTCAATGGCTCAACAATCAATTGAAGCCAAGTATGAAACCAGAAATAGTTAAATGCCTTGCCAAGGAAATTGGCCTGCAGTGGCAAAAGCATCCCTGGCAAGCGATTCACAGCTCGCATGGAAACTAACAGAACAAGGCCCAGATATCAGAGCTTTTGAAAACCAACACGGATGGCACCACAAAAATGTATTCTTAGTGATGGGAAAGTTTAGAATGCCAAATATTATGAGCTGTTGCAGTAAAACCATCATATACGTATGAAACATGAAATCATGGATGACTCGGGATCTCTTTGGCTGGGTCTTTGGTGGCTCGTGGACTGGGAAGCCGAGTTTGTGGATAAGCGTCCCAGCGTGTGCTTACTTGGTGACATGTGCCGCTTAACACTATCCAGTTCCATTCTAGCAGCCAAACACGACATCCAAGCTACATCCGTTAGACCAAGGCATAATTCAAAGGTAGTCTAGATTGTGTTTACCATTTATAAATGTCCAGGCACGTCTGCAATTTAGCCCATCCAGAGGCTTTCGGAGACGGTCACAAGAGCCAGCAGCTTGCTTGGGCAGCTCACTGTCAGCCACTCTGTCCTTTCATGCACCGTGCCACCTCCATGAGCTCCCACTGAAAAACAAAAAAAAAAAAGCAGAATCGGAAATTATACCTGCAATAAGAACATCTCAGCAGCAGAGGCTACGTTATGGTGCCTGGAATGCGCCTCCAACTGGTTCGTTTAGTGTTCTATATAACCCATGTACCAAAAGTGGTCTCTAAGCGACAAAATTAAATGACACCACAGGAGCTGGCATGTCATGCTGTTGGATGTTGCAATCCTGGCAGTTAGTCGTACAACTTCTGGCAAAAAATATATGAGCTAACACAGCTGTCATTGTCCTCGCAACATTCAAAATCCTGGCTGACAAAGCTTCTATGGACTGTCAAGCTGAGGGATACCCTCTCTGCCCCCCTCCCTTTTCCAGCAGAAACTACCTCAACTGTCATGATGTTCACAGCCCGGAAAAGATCCCCTAGAAGTTTATTCAGGAGCAACTAGGGTAGCTATAGAGACAAACTCTCGCACTATGAAGCCATTCCACAAATCTGCCATAAGCAGCAGCAGTTCGTTGAAAGTATAGAAGTTTGCCTTGTAAATACATTTCGAGATGAAGTTGCATCTCTGGATTCTACCAAGACTCTAGTTTCCAGCAAAGATTTACGTTGGCAGGCCGGCCGAGTTGCTGAGTAGGAGGAAGGTGCATGTGTCACACCACACGTGTCTTTTGCTTACATTCAGAGAAAGGAAGGCTGAAATTCCCTGATCGATACTGATTAGGCTGGAAATCTTGAGACTTTTCCAATTGCCGAATTTCTCAACAATACCAATTTTCAGCTCATAGAAACCCTGCACAGGTTTGAGTCAGGTACTAACGGCCATTAACAACTGCGTGAATTACTGTACACATATGCGGTAACTATACTAAAGCCAAACTTATTCTAGTAACGCACAACGCCATAAAACTACCAAAAAACACCGAGCATGCACCCGCGGCAGAGTAAGCGCTCAACCCCTACTTTTGAAACATATCAACTCATCTAAGGACATATTAATGCCTATTCCTTTATTTTAAGCAAGTTAAAAAAATATATGAAAGAGACATCAGGCACCCTGTCGCCATGGGCGTTTATCTCCACGACTGGCAGGCAGAATGGGGATAGAGCAAGTAGAACAGCAAAGCAGGAGAGGAATAGGAGGGGTGCAGTCGAAAAGAGCTAGAAAGTGATATACCTGGGGACAATGCTCCGTGGCAATGAAGGTAAAGCTAGAGATCCAAAGGACACCATTTCACTGCATAGCTGAATATAGTTCAACCATAATAATTTGCTGGGTGGAACGTAACCAATTAAAATATATGTAAAATTGTTCTGTTTAGCTTTGACTTTAGAATGTTAGCATAACATTGGCCAGGATGTGCCAAACCTAGAGCATTTCCTTTTTAGCCATTTTGTGTTTTCTTGGTTTAAATTCACCCTAGGTTTTCTAGCTCCCTGCAAAATTAAGATGGCATCTTTATCATGCGCATCTTTGGGCATCATCAGTGCGGTTTATTGCAGGCACACTCTGTGAGCTCGCCCCTTTGTTTGACATGTAAGATTTTTATGAAGTTTGGCAACCAAGAAATCTTAAAACAAACCAAGCAAGTGGTGTGCAACATGTATGACAAATGGGACAGTGGGAACCGGGACTCCTAGTTGTTTCCGTATGCCGGTTGGCTAGCAAGCTCACTGGTGTGTCTGAGCAGGGGTGGGGACGGAACTCAGGACCCCTGGGTTCTGCAGCGCAATCCTCGCTACAGATATTCTGAGCTGTGGTGTGCCAGCGACCCCCTAGGGCCAGCCATAACTGAATGCGATCCAAATGGAATGCGACTTCGCGTCGTGGAGTGTGCGTGCTTCTATTTCTGTATATTCCTCCCGCGCAATAGTTTTTCAGCACCAGAAGAGTTTACAGATAACTGACCTCAAAACGCGGCAGCACTCATGAAATTCGTTCATGTGGCAATTCGGGTCAGGTGGTTCATGATCATTGACAAGCGCCAAAAAATAGACAGGGTCAAGAAGTTGCCACTGGCGCACTCGCAACTAACATCATTGAAAAAAAAAACAATCTGTTACACTGCTGTGAGAAATGTCAATCATGATTACAACCAATGTAGACCTCTATCAAGAAATTCATATTCTTTTGCTGATAAGGTTATGGATGTGTCACTTGTACAACTCGTGCCTTCGGCTATAATCTCAAACACCTCGTGTAGCTTTTTCTAGACATTTTATCTGGGTATCTGGCCAAAAATTTGGTGTCATTAAATGACGGGAAACAAGGGCAGCAGCTGATCTGTGTTGTCGCTGCAGCAGCGGCCCTTGGAAAAGACAAATGCAAAACTAAACACTGCAAAAAATTCACAGAATGCACAACCAAAGTTGTGTACGGAATCACAATGTCATATGGTTCTGTGTACACGGGTCAGACAGGCCTATGTATTAATGATTGCGCCCGCGAACGCGAGGTGGCCACACAAGCGATCTCCATCACGACATCTGGCCACACACTGCAGACGCTGCTTTTGCTCCCAGTCGTTTAAAGACACTAAATTTTTGGCCAGATACCCAGATAAAGAATCTAGAGAGCTACACCAGGCGTTTAAGATTAAAGCCAAAGGCACCAGGTGTACAAGTGACACATCCATAACCTTATCAGCAAAAGAATGAATTTTTTGATAGAGGGTTGACCAGTTGTAGTCATGACTGACGTTTTTCACAGCTATAATAATAATAATAATAATAATGTTTTATTTGAATCATGCCCCAGAACGACCACTAGGCCATAGTGTGGTGGCACATAAAATGGTAGTAGATGACTTAACACAATGTCTTCCACTTGTAAAAAAGAACAGACTAACATGCAATCACGAATTAAAGATAAAAATTTAGCTCCCTTCTAAACACTGATATATCTGAAAAGATATCAACATGAGAGGACAGTTCATTACCACAAATCTGCATCCTTACCACTTACTATATAAGAAATTTTGTTTTCAATAAATGTTAGTTGCCGGTACGCCAGTGTTCACGTCAAATTTTTGTCTAGGTATTTTTCCGGCGCTTATCTATCATGAAGTTCGCAGCTTTTCCTGATCCGACACTGCCTATCTTCGTCAGCTGAGAGACAAATTAAATTCTAGGAGATTGACCACGGTGAAATCTACCTTGCAAGTCTGTCCGAGTGCTTCAGTCAAAGTGTTGGCTTACGCTTAAAAACGGGTGAAGCCTTCAGAAATAAATCTGAATATGCCTGCATGCTCGGCGATCGCGGTTCAGCTCCCTCAACCGCAATCCTCGTACAAAAACATGCAATGAAGCAACTGCGTGGTTGACACGCCAACACCCTAACTGAAACTGAGACAAAAAAAAACAAAAAATGATAACTATTTGGTGCACTAACACAGAGCCTTTGGCACTGCCTGCCTCCCCCCCTCCCTAGTTTTCTCTTCATTGCCAAAGAAAGTTGTACCCAAAAAAAGATGGGTTGCTTTTTTGTTCTAACTCGGAAGAATAAATTTAAGGCTTTATAACAAGAACAAGCAAGTGCGTAAGCAACCATTCTTTAGAATGTTAATTTGTAATAAAAAAAAAGAAAAAAAAAAACAGACTGTTTGTTTTTACGTGTTTGCACAGTCAACCAGCTTTGCAAATGGCAGCTGTTTGTAATTCCGTGGTCAGACCAAGGGACCACCCGACCATGTACACCTTTGCTTTATTACCTACCCTATCCCCCAGCTCTCCATGGTCATCCCCAATTTAGAGTGGGCAATTGCTTGGTATATTACAGTGTGGAATGGTGTTATTTGTTTAGGAAAACAAAAGGTCAGATAAATACCAGCAGGGCCCTGCGGAAGCGGTGCATGGGCCCCGTTTCACTTTTCACAAACCATCCTGTCTTGAAAGGCAGCAGAGAAACAGGTTGGGCTGATTCGCCTGCAGGCCTTTGCTGAGTTGATGGCTACTATCCAGACTGGCAGCTGATCGGCAGCTTCCAGCCACCTGCAGTTTTTTCTTGATGATACAGACTTCCTGCAATACCATGAATAAGAATCAGACTGATATTCTGGAACAAACAAAGAAACCAAAACTTGCTTCACAGATCAACAAAAGAAAAAGTGCCAACATTACGCTTCTCTTGTTGTCGACAGTGCAAAGACCATGATGACAGCACCATTAAACTCAACCAAGCAAGGAAAATGAGCTTCTTCATAACGTAATTGTATTAAGAACCAGGCACGCAGCCGGAAAGGGGGGGGGGGGGTGGGAGCCTACCTCACCTTTTCTTTATTACCTACCCTATCCCCCCCCCCCCCAAAATCGTCCATTTTGCTGGGCCCTCCCCCCCCCCCCCCCCAAAAAAAAACAACAAATTTCTGGTGAAGTGCCTGTTAAGAACAATGTGCATGTAGAGCTTAGATACCTACTGGTACCTTCAGAAATCCCAGGAAGCTAAAAACAAATTAAACACCACTTAAAAATAGCACAGCTCGCTTGGTAGGCACATGCACAGCAATCAACAAGCCTCTTGACATGTTCTGCAGTGCAGGGATACAGATTAAAAATAAACACCGGGGATGTGATCGATATCCTCTGGGGCAGTGCAATGCGCAAGTTTATCCTGAAGCTACTGTTTGCGCATGCACCTAAGAGGCGTTAGAGCTGGTTCACACTGTTGCAACTGACTACGACCGAGTTGAACAAAACAGGGTTTTAAGCCGCTTACGACTGCCATTATTACTGCTGGACGGCGTGGTCATAAGCCGTCACAAGAGGCTTAAAGACTGGTTTTGTCGGAGTCAGTCCTAGTCGGTTGCTGCAGTGTAGACCAGCTATTAGACTAAAATTGTATCCAGCTTTGGGTCTTTCCACAAATGTTTTAAGAGACTCCCTTCAACTTTACCAGGGCCTCAGGTATTTAAACGTTGTAGTAAGTAGGGAGCCATCACATTCAAAGCTGGATCTCCTTGCTTTGTATGTGTCTCCCCAGTACCACTAAACGTTCTATACCAGATCAGAGCATTTTAATCAAATCATTCAACCTCTTTCCTCAGCCATGTAAACTACTTGTGCACCCACGAGTGCTACAAGTCACGAATGTAGCCGGGGTAAATTAAAACGTCGCTAAGGCAAGCAATAATAATCATTATTAGCGACAGTAGTACCCTGGGTGGCTCGCAAGGCTAGACATATATGCAGGGGCCCGTACGCACGATCGTCTGCTAGCCAATCAACCAGAGCAAGATGATCAAAATAACAAACAGGCAGCAAGGGAGAAAACAACAAGAACGATGAGACTAAGAGGGCTCGGTCAACACTTTTAATACCCGTGCGACACGGGCAACTCGAATGCCATATACAACGAATGACAATTGTGTGATCGGCGAATCAGCTCGCTATCTGTCGCGCGTGGAATGCGTCACGCCCGGAGTGTCGCGCGCCAATTGGCCGTCCGCTCAAATGTCATTCGTTGTAAATGGCATTCGAGTTGCCCGTGTGTCCCAAGTATAAGAAACTCAAGGCCCGAGCACCTCAAACCCAACGCCACGCACCGCACGCCGGCGCGAGGCACACGCCGTACACGAGCACAACGACGACACCCAGTTAGGAGCGTGTCCTATCAATACGACAAACGCCAGCGCCAGTCGAACCGCGCCATCCCGCTGGACGCGGCGTGAAAACCCAGAGCGCGCGGGCCGGGAGTTTCAAAACATTGGGCACAACTCAACGCTGCCGCTAGCATGAAAAAGGACGAGACGACACGCAATCAAGCGTTTAACAACACAGAACAGTTCACTGATAGCAACGCGTACTTTAGAAACAATCTAATCAGCGTCTCTGCAGTGCTCCGGTGTCGCAGAGCATTCACGGGATTCTCAAGATAGCGGCACGGCGGCACCGCGGCGGCGCCGCCGCCGCCGCCGGTCAGTGCTAAGACGATTTCACTTTTTTCGACTCAAATCGTAGAAAAAAGTGAAAAATCATCCGAATTACGGTGGCAACGTGAGCTACGTTGTTCCGAAGATGATCTAGCATATCTGGATATTCTTCTAGCATGCATTTTGAATATGAAATCGGCAAAACTTACCTAAACTCGGATCGACCGACGCACTCCGAGAAAGGCCTTTGTGTCCTCTCCGGAACGAACAAGGATCCAGAAGTTGCTTGCGGCTTTGAATTGGCACGAAGCCAAGCCAGCCAAGGCAGCCAAGGATTGAAATACGACTTAATAGTTTCGGTTTCGACCCCACTCTATCTCAGTCCATATTTCTGGGGCCGGTGTCACTACGGTTGACATGACTGCAGTTATCGTACTCTATACGAACTTTGAAGTCAATCGAATGCGAGCAGACATAATTTCCCAGCTTCTTCTCCTGTTATACGTTGCTTGATAACCTTTGTTTGCTGATTGGAATCTGCATCAACTCATGTCCATCTGGTCCTTCAAACAAACGGTGTTCAATATCTTAATTCGACTTGATTTCTTATTTGTGAATACATGTAATTGCTTAATCATTCACTGGATATCTGTTTTAAGTTTTTATTTTTTTGCTAAGAAAATGTACGTATTTTTTAAGTTTTTTTTTTTTTTTTTTTGGTTTGGTTTGAATTACAGGCCGTGTTTTGTGGCTCAGTAAAACAGGTTGATTTGAGAAATTCAAGATCATGAACAGCCGACAATACACCAGTGATGTAAATACAGGGGAGGCGGGAGAAGCGCACCCCCCTTCCCCTCCACCTTAGAAAATATTCCTGGCTGCGTCGCTAAATGAGCATAAGAGGCACTGCGTTTTTTCCCTTATCAACATACACACAAATCGAAGGAGTGAGAAGCTGCTTCATCTGAAAACTTTCAGTTTTGAGATGAAGCAGCTCCTCCCATCTCTTTCCGCTTTTGCAGAGCGAACGCTCGGGAGGAGCCGACCCCCTCCCCAGCGTTTACTTTCAACCTGCCAACGAGTATGGCTGTATTTTTTTTTTTTTTCCGTGGACCTTCTAGATCGCTACAGCTTCAGTGCATACAGCGGTGTAATCCACTCGCTAACTTGCTGTGCGTGTCTAAACAGAAGACTTGTTTCCCTCCGGAGCGGGATCGGCGGCCGAGTGGGCTAGAGCACACCAGCTCGGAGCACGCGGAGCGAAAGCTCGCGCAACAGAACCCAGGGATCCTGGGTTCAATCCGCACCCCTGCCCGTTTCGATCTGGATGAACATCCTACAGGCGCGCTTTCGTGTATCATTACTGCGTGATGCACGTTAAAGACCCTGCGCTATCAGTTGTACTGCATTGGCTAAATTTTTCATCTACAGCTGGGAGACTCGTCGGCCGTTGAGGCAGACCAAATTCTAGGCTGTATAAACATACACACTCCCCAATTTTTCTCTGGAGCCATAGCTACAGGTTCAGCGCACGTGATCAGCGCATTCAGAAAACTAACTACAAGAGCACGCCCACGAGGCTTTGCGTTGCCTCTAATTTGCACGTGCTCACCCCAGCTTTGACGAAATTGGAGCCCTGCAGAAGTGGGCTAAAGCGCACACCCAGCTCGACGCGCGTGGAGTGAAAGCTCGCGCTGCAGAACCCAGGGATCCTGGGTTCGAGCCCCACCCCTGCCCGTTTCGATCTGGATGAGCATCCTACCGACCTGCGCTCGTGTATCACTACTGCGTGGTGCACGTTAAGGACCCCAGGCTAGTGGTTGTACTGCACCGGCTAAATTGCTCATCTACCGCGAGTGACTCGTCGCAACTTTAAGTGGCTGACCAACTGCACGCTGTAAAAATATCCCCATAACCCAATTTGCAATTTTTGCCCTGCAGACGTTACGCTAACCTTGATGACGTAGAACAAATTAGATCTGAACACGTCGACGTGTGCACCGCCGAAACGTGCCCCACATGTCCTACACTTCGTTTCACGCTCAGTGCGAGCGAAAGCAATGTGAGGTCGATGTTGACACGTCACGAGCTCACCTTCGCTCGTATTTATGGTGAAAGAGAGAATGAAGAGTCATAGAACAAAGAAATGATACAAAACATAGATGTAATCTATGTTTTGTATGTAGATAGTGTAATAGATGGCAGGGTAGATCTATGTCATCTATGCTTTGACTGCCTACGCTAAGCCTATTTTGTATTTACAAATTCTGATAAGCATGAGTCCACGTGGGAACCTATCCAAACGCGGATTAAAATCCGGCTTGCTTAATTTTGAGATTAAAATAAAAATGTAAATAAATATTTACATTCCCGGTGCACTTTACTTTGTTTCGATTCCTTACATCAGTGAATGCGATTTTCCGCTGAATAAACTTCTTTTTTATGTACTTGATCACTAGCGCCACTCGCACATACAACGCTTTTGCTTTACACCACGCGTGGCCAAGGCTTTCGTAACTTGTGGTGCGGTCCGGGCAGACCGCATTCCACGTGTGTTGGCGGTGTAAGGTGAGTCAGATGGGTCGTTCCCGCTTTAAATAAATACTAAAAATCAGTTTCTCATACTGCGGCACTAAGCGTTGACATTGGTGCAGCGAGAGCAGTCTTGCCTCTTCTTGAACTAAATACCAGCCAACATCTAAGCCTTTCTCGTGTCGGAAGTTTTGCGTGTCGCGTTTCATTTGAAAAACTAAAGGCTTAGCACATGTCGGTTTTAAAAAGCATTTCTTGCTTGAAGCTTGTGAGGCAAGTTCGCTTTCGCGAAGAAAACGCACCACCAGGATGCAATTACGTAGCATGTGAAACTGATATTTGTTGTTTATTTAAATGTGGGACGATCAATTTGACTGAAGCACCCGGTCATTCTTTTCAGTCTGGAAAGAACTCGGGGTCTTAGCGAACGGAAAATTGAACACGCGCGCTCAACGCCGCTGCAATGTACGCAGATTTAGTTGAGCAGCATGTTTTTCACATATTTTTTCTTGAAGCGCCGACTGATTTGCGATTAGTTAATTTGTTCTGGAATAAACACCGGCCTCTGGAATTTGATGAAATGTGTTCTATTGTTTTTTTTCTAATTTACACATCCAGTGCAACAGTTTGTTTTTGGCGTTTTTGTGAAATCAGACATGGGGGGTGCTGTTTTGCGGACCCTGCTTGCGGTTGCGATGTACTGTCGGCACGGGTGTGTCAATAAAGCCCGACGATCGCGTCACGCCGGCAAGCGCAATATTCTTGAAAAGGAGGAAACTGTTCCTGGCCAAAGGTCTAAGCACAGATTCTCGTGTACGAAGCTGTATGTCACTGGCTTTGTGATAATAGCGTGAGAGTCAAATTTAAGCGCAACGTAAGAACGGATTTTAAGTTGATGTAAGTAAAAGTGGCCGTATCGAGTACTTCAGGGTCCGATGTCAAGCAAGTTCCAGACAAAAAATAATGAACGACGGTAATTGCCCGTCGTTCCTTCGCGCGCTGATCTTGCAAAAATAAACGACACCCGAAACCAGTGGCGTCACGAGGGTCAGCGGCACTCGCGGCGGTAGCCCGCCGCGACACCCCCCCTCCTCCTCCCCCCCCCCCCCCCCCCCCCTCGCTCCGCTCGTGCGTGGCCGCGTGACCCGCCGCTCCCCCCCTCCCCCCTCCGCTCTCGCGTGGCCCGCCGCGAACTCCCCCCCCCCCCCCCCTCCGCTCTCGCGTGGCCCGCCGCGCCCCCCCCCCCCTCCCCCCGCATCCCGCCGCGACCCCCCCCCCCCCCCTGAGCGCAGCACCCGGGCGCGGTCCCCCCACCCCCTTGTGACGCCACTGCCCGAAACCACTCCCCGGCAGTTCCGTGGAATCCTGGAGCCAGTGAATACAATGAATCGCCACGAAATCCTTAAATCTTGGCAGCCGCCTGTCTAACCTGGTCGGCTCGGACCAGGACAATACAAGGAACGACGAGGAAATCACTTCCCTGGCAGTTACGTAGAATCCCGGGGCCAATGACCACGCTGAAGCGCCACTAAGACTTCAATGTTGGTGGCCGCCTGTTTACCCCGGTCGGCTCGGACCAACAAAATACAAGGAACGCCGAGGGAATCACTTCCCTGGCAGTTCCGTAAAATCCTGGGGCCAATGAACACACTGAAGCGCCAATGTTGGCGGCCGCCTGTCTACACTGGTCTGCTCGGACCAAGAAAAGACGAGGAACGCCAAGGAAATCCCTTCCCTGGCAGTTCCGTGGCATACCGGTGCCCGGGAAATACGGTGAGACGCCAGGCTGGCAGTTCACCGAATTCCCTGGGCGGTCCCGGTCCAGTCTACTACGGCCAAGGCCCCATCCTGGCCCCAGCTAGCCCAAGCAAGTGTGCTGCTTGGGACCATTCCCTATCCCTACACAAATCGATTGTTTTTCAGAATCAAGGTTGTACAAGTTGAGGAATTGAAAAGTATTACGAAACAAGTTAATGATTTATTGAAACGATTAAAGGGGATAAACAAAATAAAACAAAAATACAGCTGTTACACAGGTTTTAAAACGTCAAAAACACGCCGCCCTAGGTTGATATTTTAAGCGCTTGTTCGTTTATATTATATAGGCCTGTTCGTTTGCGTCTAGTGTGTCTGCTGAGAAAAAATTTGAAGGGGATTCCAGAGAAAATAAAATGAAAAACAAAACTTAAATAGCGCATTTCTGCACAATCGACAGTAATCTGTTAGAGTTATTGATTATTTTATCTGATGTCGCGCGTGTCTCTTGGATATGTCAATTCACAAAATGTTGTGCGCGAACCGCAACTTTTGACGCGAAATACAAGAACATTAATAAAAAAAAATCGTAATCCATTCGAGACAAAGTAAAGTCTCCAAATCGACGTTCTAATGTCAGCGTCCGCCATTTCGGAACCCCGCAGCAAAATACAACGCGGTTGGTCCACAGCGTGTTGGTGCCTGGAAAAAAGGCCGTTCTGCAATGCCTTTACCTTTGGCGGCATCTGTCGGTCTCTTTGCTTATAGAGGCTACTTCACTTTGCTTGTAATTTACGTATCGGTATGATATCCTTAAATGCTTCACTTTTCCCTAAGCCGGAATTATGTTATTTTTACAGTTGTGAGTACGTAAATATTTCTGCTTGTACTACTGAGTGCACAACCTAAAACAATTTACGCTTTCTCTTATGTTCCTCAACGTTCATGGTGCTAGAGTTTCTGAAAATTGAAAGGCGGAAACTCAAGTTGCTAGACATTTAGCTGCTTACACGACTTTGGTAATAGAGCCTTGCAAGCAATGCTGGCAACTTATTTTATATGCCGGTCACTCTCTCGGCTCTAGTGGTCAGCACTTGTTTCCAACAAGCAAAAAAATCGTGTCCCTACTTTGGAGCTCTGGTTAATGTACAACGAATTTCCTAGACTGGCGAGTTAATAATGCAACACAGCTCAACGGCATTTTGGTATAAGCTCTCTAATCAGACTCAAAATGAGTAATCACACATAATACAGGTTAAAACCTAGAAGTCTGAAGTACTTCTAGAGATACCTGACAGAATTATATTTAAGTGCTCCACTGCTTACTATTGCTTGCCTTCACTTGTAGATAAAACCAATATGACTGTTAACAACAAGGCAGTGTGGGTACCAAAAAA